CCCTTGTGCTGCACAGCATGGCGCCTTCTGATGGATGAAGGTAGAAAGTGAAGTAATTTACCTACTGGTGAGAACAAATAAACCGCCACACCTTACCTGTTATTACCCTAAAAGAGCAGGAATCAGTTTATGGGTGTACGGTATGGACTAGCCTGCGGTGCAGCACAACAGCTTACAATCTTACACAAATCTACAGTATTCCCTCTCCCATAACTGGCCCTGTGTCAGGGCAGGAGCTGAGGAACGGACAGGCAGGCCTAACAATGTAACGCACTGGCTGACGACAACCACCACCCACAGACCGAAGTACCTCAGGGCGCGGAGTCTAAGTCCCAGGCTGCCCTTCACCAGGGCCCCTGATGGTGGGGATGGACTTGACGCAGCCAGGAACCAGGTCGCGGCCCCCGAGACACCTCAGCTGCGGTAATGGCCGCCGCCAATGGCGTGTAGCTGGTGGAAGAGACAAAAGAGTAGTCAGACAAGCCGGGGTCAACAACAACAGGACAGAACAGTACAGGACAGCAGACGAGAATCACAGGTCACGAGCCGGGTTCAGCAACAGAGGGTCAGATCAAAGGAGAATACAAAGAATAGTCAAGACAAGCCGAATCAGATACCAGGAGAGTCACGAGAGTCAGAACAGAGTAACAGCAACACAAAGACACAAGGCACAAGTGCAAAGAGCATGTGCGGGCCACAGGCTTATATGTCATCAGCCACACCCCTCTGGAGGATGGACCACAGAAACCTGAAGGCATAAAAGGGCTCCCATCATGCACAGCAGAATCCAAGATGGACACCAGCACATGAAGTAACATAACCACAGGGAAAAGGTAGGACCTTGACACCCTGTAGCATGTGCCTGAGTATTCCTTCTGAGCAAAATGCCCGTCTTGCTTGAGTTTGTAGGATTTTATCAGCTCTCCAATGTGAAATGTCATTTTAAGTTGTGGAGTCCTTCCAATAATCAGTAACAACACTTGTGGCCTGACACAAACAGAGACCCTAACTAACTATAGGCCTGGACTCAGTCTCAAGGCGCCAACACTGAAATGAGGTTCGTGCACGATCTTACCGACCCGGGTCTGCTTTGCACCGGCTGGTGACTCTGAACAGAACAAATGTCTCTCCAACAAGCATGCGGTCTTGCCGTATATGTTGCCTAGTTCCTCTGCTCTCATCAGCCTTCCTGGCAGCAATCTCATCAGCATTCCTGGCAGCATTCCTGGCAGCAATCTCATCAGCAATCTCATCAGCCCTGGCAGCAATCTCATCAGCATTCCTGGCAGCAATCTCATCAGCTTCCTGGCAGCAATCTCATCAGCTCACACGGCCCCTTCATTCAACATCGTCCAAAACATGGCTTGCAGACTCCTCTTCCTGTTCACTAAACTCCAACTCTGAGTGCAAAACCCCACCTCTCCATGAATATACAAATATCTATGCAGTCTGAGCCTGTGTTAGAAAAACAGTGACATCTTGTGGCTAAACCTCAGAATGTCAGTCAAAAGGTGTTTCCCCATCTCACATTATCAATGTCAGCATCATCGTCATCATTATCATCATCATTATCAACAGTTACATTTATAATATCAATGACGCATGAGTTCGTTACCTCCCCAGGCAAGGGGATTTCTTCTTGTTCTCCAGCTAATGGAGAACCTTGCAACCCCATTCCATTCCTAGCCCCCTCCCTCTGTCCATCCACAGGTTGCCCAGACATTACCCCAACATCTGCACACAGTACCTTGGCATGTCCAGAGAGTTCCAGGGAGACCTTCTGGGTATTCTCGGCAAAGGGGCATAATAGGAAACAAGAGTGCCTAGATCAGCACCCAACAAAACAGGTGTGGGAATTTCATCCGAGACCCCAACCTCCCTCACCCCCCTTCCTGAACCCCAATCTATGAATACCCTTTGCACAGGGTATGCGTGAACGGGTCCCCCCAATTCCTGTGAGGGTAAGGAACTTTCCTGGGATGAGGTTCCTTTGCTCAATCACCTCCGGCCGGATCAAGGTGACTTCTTCCCCGATGTCCTGGAAACCAGTTACAGATCGGTTGCCCACAGTGACTGGCTGCAAGTTGGCGGTTTCACGATCGCACGGCCGCCGCCACCAACATGCGACAATCGCACGACCGCGACTAACAGTAATACGTCATGCCCGCAGCGTCAGACCCCAGACCTTCTCACCAAACTCATGACCGAAGGACCGGCCGATCTAAAACTGTGGTGTGACGCGCGTAAGAAGGCCACACCCAGCTGCACCCTGCACAGCGATTGTCCAGCTAATGGGCTACAATCGGTGCCTGCAGCCTGAATGCGCTTGGTACTGGGTCGGGTTAATTACGCAACTAACCCTCTACTGCCACCGCCGTATTTTTTGTCAGAGAAGAAGGAAACTCTCGTTATCAAATATACACTATATGATTGAAAAGTCGCCTGTCCAATGCGGACCCCGCAGAGAATTAAACAAACACAGTAGCGTCACTTCAAAAGGCAAGAATTTGTGAATTGCCAATAAGCGCTTAAAAACAGTTTAACACTTTCAGAAAGAAAGATTTATTACTAAAAGAGTCAAACAGGTGCAATAAAATATTTACCAAGAGATGTCACGAAAATATATATATATGCATATAAAGGTACAGCAAAGAGATAATAGGAAGGAAGTTAAAGGGTTAAGTTACTTGCCAACTTGCCTTGGTTTGTAAGCAGATCCAAGTGCAGAGCAGGAAGGGTCTTTGATCTCCTCTGTTACGATGTTAAACTCAGGAGAGTGTGTCTTAAACTTAGCTTCCAGGCTTGCAGCCTGTCCTTTTTAAAAATCCCTCTGCAAGGGGGGATGGCTCTGAATACTGGCCATTACGCTGTTTTGGGAGGGGTCAGGAGAACTCTGAATTAGAACCAACATATGTCATAATCCATGACATGAAACATAGGGGGAAAAAAACCTGTCTTGATGAATGTTCATTTCATTTTGACATCTTTACTGTTAGGTTCTGTGAGGTTTCAACTTCTTTCAAGTCCGGGGAGAAAGCTGCCTTATCTGTTTTATGATGGGTGAGCCTACACAAGGTCTGGGATCAGTGCTTTTAGGTGAGAAAGGTTACGCTTCTGTAGACTGCCTGGCACCGGACTAGGGATGCTTTACCCTGTGGTTGACCCCCCACCATCTGTCACTCAGGAAGGGAGGGGGTAGGGAGTGAATGATGGAGGAATAATAAAAATAAAAGAAAAAGGAAAAGGGAACTCCGTATCCAACTCTGATGAGCAAGTTTGCTACACCTCCCCCTCAGGTGGTTTCCAGGGGTTCCTCTTGGGTCGTCCTGGCACCGCTGCACTGAGGGAGAACCGAATTCCGTCTGAACAGAAAGCCGTTCTCCCCAGAAACACTGCTGGGCCGACCAAGTGAGTGGTCACGGGTGGGTACAAGTCGGCTGTGACTATCCGAATCCCATGGCAACTGCCGGGGTGCCCACCTGTTCACAAAACACTTTGGCTCAGGGGTGTCATTTGCTAACATATTAATATGTAGCTTCTTGTCGAGGTAGAGAAGGAGATTTCCCTCTCCTATGTTCTTCCTCCGGCTTAGGACTACATCTGGCCTGAAGGTAGTAGCGCCCGTGGGCACCGGAACCGGATAGGCAAATTCTGGACCTCACCTCCCAGTGGTGTCCACAGGTACCTTCATCCAAGATGGACAGTCCTCGTTACCTGCTAGCATCCAGGACACCAGTTCTTCCAGTTTCCTGTCCGCTAGGTCAGTCAGGGGTCCAGCTGAGCCATGATCATCGCATCCAGGCGTCTTACCATAGCCAGCTGTACCCGCGACTGACATAACCTGCTTTTTGGCCTGGGGAGCAGACCAGGCCTCAACTGCCTCAGTCTCCCCACGCCCAGACCTCTGGGGGTCTCTTCTTACCGGTGGGTTCCTAAACTGAAACACTGACATGCCCCTCTGACAGTTACGCTTCTCGACTGTCAGACTGGGCACGGGCGGTTGGTTCCGGACTAGTGACAGGGGCCCAAGTTGCTCTTTCCAGACAGGGCCGAACACCGCAAGGCCCCTAAAGTGGGCATCTGCACCCAGTTCCACTCCGCATTGCGGGCCATTCCTGACCGCTGGAGAGGCGGTCAGTGCATTCTCAACCCCAACTAGCTTTCCCGTGGATTCAGGCAAGCCACATGGGGTAGTGAAGGCTGGCTCGTCTTGAGCTTGCTGGGTTAGAGATGGTGGCCCATGCTCCTTGCTCAGGTCCATGATGGCAAAACAGTAGGCACCTTCCGGATGCTCCATTACCTCATGGCTCCTGGGCATGGGGTGGGCACAACCACCGGGCTGGCGTTCAGTTTTCCAAGGTCCTTAGAAAGCCTGGTCATCGTATCCTGCTTGAGGACCTCGACCACCAGGGATGCCCAGACTCTAGCTGACCCCTGGATTCCTAACTGTGCCATTCCTTTTGTCTCTGTGGCCCGGTCAGCCTGCACCTTCTGAATCCAGACACCATCTATCAGAGGCCTGGCCAGCAACTCCGGAACTTGAGTGCCAAGGAAGGGTGATTGGGTCTGGGCCCTGCAGCTCTCTCTCTGTAACCCAAGCATCAACCCCCCTTCCACTCGTAATCCAGGCATGCTGCCCCTGCCTATGACATCTGTCTTTCTGCCTGTGAACACACCTTGACAAGTAAGATTAACTGACAGGCTTCAGGCTTCCACCCCCCTGGGGGTAGGCCATTCTCCCTGTCAGGCTTTTGTTTACCCTTCCCAGCAGGGGGGCTCAGTCTGGGCCACAAGCTGAAATCTCCATGTGAATGACTTTCCAGAGCTGCCTTCCCTGTGGGACTACAAACCTCAGTTAGCTGGCCTATAAAGGGCCATTGTGGATCGCTTTTCAGGGCTGCCTGAAGCGTGGAACTACAAGTCCCAGTTGGCTGTTGTGTACCCTCCTTAGCAGGGCAACTCACAGCTAGCGGACTTCCGAAGTTCCTGTGGGAATCGCTTTTCAGTGCTGCCTGAGGCGTGGAACTACAAGTCCCAGCCGGCTGCCTAGTCCTATGCAAGGCCGATGGCTGGGCACTTATCAAGGCACAATCTTCTGAGCCTGGGCAGGGGACAGGCCTATCCAGACCATCCCTTTGCTCAGCCCCCAGAGATTGTACCACAGCCCCCTGTACAGCACTGGGGGTGACCACCAACACTGAAAATGCATCCTTTGTCTCATCATGAATATCACACTCATTGTTAGCATTACCAACATTGCCGTCAACAATACAAACATTATCAATTACATTACTATCGATGTTACTGACCTTATTAATGACATTACTGACTTTACTTTCAATGTTACTAACATTATCAATTACATTACTGACTCCACTATCAAGGTTACTGACATTATTAATGACATTCCTGACTTTACTATCAATGTTACTAACATTAGTAATATCACCCTCAGTGTCACCACAACGATTATCAACAGTCACGTTCATAATATCAATGACACATGAGTTCAATACCTCCCCAGGCAAGGGAATTTCTTCTTGTTCTCCAGCTAATGGAGAATCCTGTAGCCCCACACCATTCCCAGCCCCCTCCCTCTGTCCATCCACCGGTGGCCAAGACATTACCCCAATATCTGTCCACAGTACTTTGGCTTGTCCAGAGAGTTCCAGGGGGACCTTCCGGGTCTCCTCGGCAGGGACATAATATGAAACAAGAGTGCCTAGGTCAGCACCCAACAAAACAGGTGTGGGCAGTTCATCTGAGACCCCCACCTCTCTCATCCCCCTCCCCGCACCCCGCACCCCAATCTAGGAATAGCTTTGCACAGGGTATGCGTGAACGGGTCCCCCCAACTCCTGTGAGGGTAAGGAACTTTCCTGGGATGAGGTTCTTGGCTCAATCAGCTCTGGCCGGATCAAGGCGACTTCTGCCCCGGTGTCCCGGAAACCAGTTGCAGACCGGTTGCCTATGGTAACGGGTTGCAAGTTGGCGGGGGTTACCCGCATCTTCCTGCGAACGAACAGCACAGAAGAAGAGTTGCTGGCCGGCTGGCAGATGATGTCGTTTGCTTCTGCTCAGGACACTGGGTCCTGAGATGTTTCCCACAGGCGAAACATCTGCGGGTGTCAGGCAGGAATGGCTTGGCTCCAAGTGCTGCAGGTGTTGGGTGAGGGGGAGCTTCACTCACCGGCGTAGGAGGGGTTGCTATGGGCGATTTCCCTCCTTTCCAGCTATTCGGAGGAGCCTTGCGAGGGTCAGACAAAGGTATCTGCCAAATCGGCTGCAGCTTTAGCAGATGCTGGTTCTCTATCCAAGACAAACTGTCTGACGTCTGCCGGGCAGATATGCAGGAGCTGATCTCGTATCATGAGATCTTCTAAAGACTCGTAGGAGTCCGCTTTCAGTCCTTTAGTCCACTGTCGGAATGTGGTGCGTAAGCGACTCGCCACATCCGTGTAAGAGTCCCCAGGTCCCTTTTGCAAGGACCTGAACCGCTTGCGGTACATTTCCATGGTCATCTGGTTCTTCCAGATGATGACATCTTTTAGAGCTTCGTAATCGTCATCCTGCCCCTCTGGCAATTTGACAAACGCGTCCAGGGCCTTGCCTCGTAGCCCTGGTGTCAGGTACCGAGCCCATTGAGCTTGGGGCAGATGGAACTGACGGCACGTTTTTTCAAATGACAGTAAGTACGTGTCAATGTCACTATCTTTTTCCATCACTGGAAACTTGGCTGCTGTGCCCATGGTCAGAGAGGCGTCCCTGTGTTCTAAGGACCCGAGGTTCTGAACCGGTCGCTGCTGCTGAAGCCTGACCATCTCCAGCTCGTGCCGACAATCAGCTTCTCTCTCAGCCTGGCAGTCAAGGAACTGCAAGTATGCCATAGGATCTGTCTCCATGATGCATTTCAGGGCTTCCTGCATCTGAGGAGAGTCTCTGCTGGTTACAGGCATTCCGGTGAAGGCCCTCTCAGGCGGTGGTGTGAAGATAACATTCGGTGATCCTCCAGTGTCAGTGTCTGTATGCCCATCCTGCGAGGCTGTCTCTGAGCCACTGGGAACGTAGGTATCGGGAACCCCGTCATGGTCAAGTTCCCCCGAGTTCTGATCTGCTTGGCTATCATGCTCCTGTAGGTCCTGAATCAAATCTTCCCAAGTTTTGTGACCGACGTCCATTCCTCGTGAGGTACATTCCGCACTCAAATCACTTTTGCTCATTTTCTTGTATTCTGCGTCACCAGGCATAATTGCAAACAAGATAGAATAGGAAGCAGAAAAAGGAAGGAGCTGTTGCTATATGTCTCTCTCTCTCTCTCTCTCTCTCTCTCTCTATATTGTGGGAACTCGCTTCAAGTGGTAGAGCTTCTTCAAAGCACACAGCAACTCGCTTATTTTTTAAGGGCCTGTTTGCCCACTTTTATTTAAGAAAGTTCAAACAACCAAAATTCTTCCCACGCAGGGGTATCCACCATCACACGAATTCAAATAAACAGTATTCAGCCTCCTGGCTTGTACGCAGTTTTAAGTCTGCCTCCTGCAGACTCTTCCCCAAAGTATGGCACTAGCACACAGCTAGTCTGGCTTCCACCTCTCCTAGGTGTAGCCCACCTGACTCCATGGCAGAGACCTCCCGTCTGCCTGGGTGGAGTCCTCCTAACTGCCGGGGTGGAGCTCAGACTCATGGCCTGGCCTCCACAAAAAGGCCTGCACACACCTGTGCAATCAGCACACTGGCTGCTCCCAAAATATGGGCCCAGGATTGGAGATTTCATCCCTCCCAAATCTCTTAGAAATCTCCAGGCAACAGGTCCCAAAACAGGCTTTACAAACCAAAGAGGAAACTTATAAACCCGTTTCCTCTGCATTATGAGAACTGCCTGGAGCCCCTCAACCTGCATGGTTGAGAATCCTGGGTCTCCATCATGATTTCCACCGTGGCAGGATACCGCACTGCCACATATCCCCCCCCTTTGTTTTGATCCCGTAGGGGGCAGAACACACACACCCAAACTCTTTAATTTGGCACCTCTGTGCCAGCCTTCACCCATATGAGCCCATTCCTGACTGACATTGCTTTCAAAGGGAAACTTTCCTTCCTGTCTTATGAGGCGACTTTCCCCATGTTCTCCTAGCACACGGACTTGGGCCCTATAAAGACACTGTGCCTTTTTACGGGTACGCTTCCAAAAGCGTTGCCGCTCTATTTTCCTTGGGGCCACCCAAGTCACCTTCCCATTAAGGAACTTCCAAAACTTGGTACATTTCTGAGGATGAGGTTGACGCCTGAGTTTTAGGTGTTGGATAACATTACAGCTACGCTGCACTCTCAACCGCCGGTTTCCCTTTACCTTTGAAGGGGTCACGCTTTTAAATACAAAAAGTGTGGGCTCTTTTATTGGGGTTACCTTAGACCCTCGCTGCATTCTATGTACAGGCATCTTCTTACTGACAAAACCTAGCTCGGTTGGTTTCCCCCCGTACACTGCATGCTTCCTTTGGTCACTGACAGTCTCAGATGACAGCAATGTCCTACTATCCTTCTGAAGGACAGACCGATTGTCTTGCTCTTCAGATGTTTTTATGTCAGGGGACCTCTTTAAATTATCCACTTCCTTAAAGTTTTCCCTCTGGGCAGATAAGCTATTTAAAGTTTCCCTTCCCAGACTACCCTCCTGAACCTGTAGGGGGCCTAATTCAACTGCAGCTTTTTCCTCAGCTGTGTCTACCACATCATTATATTTACAATTTACCAGTGCATCGCACTTTTCCTCATCATCAACATTTACACGGGTCTTGCATTTTTCCTCCTGGCCAGAAACATCCACACCTTTGTCAGAATTAATTTCAAAGTTTGGCAGGGCAGTGTCTGGAGACCAAGTGCACAGCGTGGAGTGGTTGTCTCCCATGGCAACGTCGCTATCCACCAGCTCCACTGGCACATGTACCTCTTCCAGCAACTGTCCTGACACCTGACGGTCATAACACAATTCCACATTTGGTTTACTGACCCCAATCACTTGATTTGTGCCATCTGACACTTCCACCAACACTGGCTCATTTGGTATCACACTATTCGATCCTACACCATTGGATCCTTTGTGGGTTGTGGGCACGATCTCTGCTATGTGCTCAATCTCACTTGGCCCGTCCATATTGGGAGGGAGACCATCTGCAGCAACAGCAAGTGTGCCCTTGTCTATAAGCTGATCTGCCGTCCCTCCATTTAGCACAGCAGAAGTCGTGTCCACTCCACTGTTGGAAGCAGAGGTCCCTTTTAACAAAGCCAACAGGTTTTCAGCCCATCTGTCCCAGTCTACTTTCTCTGCGCTCCAATCAGAGGTACTACGCAGTACCGCACCAACTGTCGGAGGAGACACAGGACAGAGTGGCTCAGCAGACACATCACATATATCACTTTTGTTCAACCAAAACTGTGGCACTAAATTTTTAACCTCAACAGGTTGCAATACCACACCCTCACCACCGTACTCTGATGGCGCTTCATTCACCTCATGAACACTTCCATACCTATTGTCATTACTGACAGACTCCATTAACCCATTATCACCAGGAGCATTTTCAAAAATTCCAGTTTTAGCATTTAAATTATCAAGTACTCTCTTGTCCAGAGCAGCACCATAGTTGTCCAAGGCAACCTCTGGCTCCAACACACAGAGCTCCCAGGAGGTTTCCATGGACACCTTTGCAGCCTTGGATACTGTTGCCAAGGGCAACAACATATCTTCAATCATATTCATATAAACACTATTATCTTTAGTGAGCTGTGCTAGCTCATCACCAACCATAACATTATATTTACCAACAGTAACACTTTTGTCGGCATGACCATCAGCATTCTCATTGCATATAGACATCACTGTGGTTTTTGCAGGTAATCCCTGGCTATTACCCAGCTGAGCAGCCTGTGAGCCATGCTTCACAGCACTCTCTCTCTTTAAAGGGACACTATATTCAGTTTTAGCAGCTCCATAGCTGACCTGGGAAATCCTCTGCTCCGTCACTGCGGGCTCCTGGGAGGTTTCCCTGGGCATCTCTGCAGCACCTGGCACTAGGGAACACGGTGCCATGACAGTTTTGGTCACCCCTAGTTTACCTTCCCCAGCCATCTGCTGGATTATAGCAGGCACATGCAGAGTCCCCATGTCCTTTTCCATATTTAGTCCTAATCGTTGGGCTTCTCCCTGTGCCTCCCCACTACTCAGGGTAGCACACAGCAGCCAGTCCATGTCCATCTGTATTGTGGAACTCCCTGAAGGACACACTCTCACTTCCTTGGAATCAGTCCCACAAACTGAAACAGTCTTACCATTTCCTGCAGCAGGTGTCATAGCCTTCACTTGAGTGCGTTGTCTCTCCTCTGTGGTTTCTCCACAGGCTGACTTCCCCAAGTGGTCACGGTGCAACACTGCAGCCATTCCGGACCAACTTACACCCCCTGCAGGTAACACAAGATCCCTGTTGCTAGGGGTAG